CGAATAAAAGTGTGTAGCGTAGAGTTTCCCAGGTTGACTCCGCCAGAAGACGACGGCGGTACATTCCCAGACGTAGTCGGCATCATCTGTGGGTCTGGTCATACTCAGACCAACCTAGGAATGTGCCGAGTCCATGGCACAATGTTGGGAATTATCATAACTTCTGCTACCGAGCACCTCAGACAAGGTGCGTCCAACTAGGTCGCCCTGACGACACGACCAAGTTGCCAAAACAAGGTCAGACCATTGTATACATCGAAGGGAGACTGAAACCAAAATAAAGGCCACAACATTTTGGTCTTCATATCACTTCCAGACTTTGGTTCGTCATATGAAGCATATCTTACAATCATACTCAGATTAACGAGTCAAAAAAACTCACTCGCTTATCCCGAAATGACGTGTATTTATCCAAGTTCAATGAATTGTAATGAGGAATAAAATAATTTGGTTATTTAAAGGCATAGTTCACTCTGGAAACGTGTCCGTGTGTGTGTTTGTGTGCGCTTATATGCCTTCATGTATAAGGATATATACGAAAGTAATTCTAAGAGAACGTAACTCGCCATCACGGAAGTCAGGATTTTATTGCTCACCACCCAATTTTTTTTCATAATATCTCAAGCATCATTCCGATTGTGTAATGCCAGAAAGACGTCTGGTGAAATTGGTGAGACCTTTACCTTTAAATGAGGGCGAAAGAATTGACTAAGATTATTGGAAATGTGACCGCTATTAGAACCAAGCCAAGAAAAGACGAACAACAACTGGATTTCTATGAAACTCCTGAGATAACATTGTTGGGGAGACCTTCATTTTGTATGAAAGTGCATGAAGAAGAGATTAAGAAGATTGATCACACAAGAAGACGACGGCTGAATCTTGCTGTACTGCAGCTGTTTGGCTTTTAGACGACATACAGATTGACATGGTCGCCCAGCATGTGATGGACATCTACAGAACTGGAAATCATTCCTGTAAGTCTCATGTTAACACTTAGTCAAAAAGACTATCCGGCTCTATCTGACCTATTGTATTGGTCGAAGTAGATAAAAGAAAATAAAATGGGATAGATAGATATAGAATGGTTTGGCTAATTATCTTTCATATTAGTTCTGCAACCCTTGCTCGAGTATGTGGATATAAACATCTATTCGCAAAAGGTTAATGTCGGGTTCTGGCTTGATGAACCAAGAAAAAGCCTGACCGAGACTACTTAAGTCAGTAAGCAAGTATGGTTGCGATAATGAGATGTAAGCTTGTAAGTGTGTAAGTCAACTTATGAAACCACCTTGACAAACCAAGGAAAGGCCTGACTGGGGTTGCTTAATCTGGCACGGCTGGTTTGGATAATGAGCCCAATCTAACATGTTGGACGAGTGCGAGTGCAGTTAGAACCATCATTGAGCAGATGAGGTCAGTCGCCATCTTTTGGATCTATCAATCAGGCAAAAGTAGTTCTTAAAAGTGGGTTGATCTCGTTGTCGCATCTTGGTCTTGTTGTCAGGGCGACATAGTAGAACGCACCTAGCCCGAAGTCGTCTGCCATAGTAGTTGTCATGATTGCCATCATCAGACAGTGGAGTTGGTACATTCTTAAACGTTTCGCCGGCATCGTAGTCGGCATCATTAGTCAGTTTTGTCATTCTCCGCACTGAGCTACGACACGTGAAGTTCTGACAACTACTATGACAGACGACTTCATACTAGATGCGTCCTACTAAGTCGCCCTGACAACAAGACCAAGTTGCGACAATTTGGTCAACCCACTTCTATACATCTTTAATAACTAGTTATTACTCAACTTTCTATCACCGTTACTCACATTCAATGTATTGCCTGATATCTTAATTACAATTGCCTCATGTACCTTCCATTTAACAGCAGACCCACGATAATAAACAAACCCACTCGTTTGAAACTATTCTATTTAATGCGAAGGAAAGTTGGGTTTCGAAGAATCTCTTGTTTCATAATTGTTGAGCTTATTTTCATTTCGAGTGAAAGTGTTTGGTGAAGAAATTCAAAGGTCGCTTCAACCAGAAGACGACGGTGGATTCCTCTCGACCAGTTGTCGATTGGCGTTAATGTAACATTCTTAATGGCGCTGTTTCCGAGTTGATCTCCTTCGATTCCGGTGAAAGGTGCTAAGCTCTTGTCCGTCTTGTGACGAACATGATCAGAGCAAGGAGGGTATCATCTTCACAACCAAATTCAAGCTAACGAGTCAAGAAAACTTATTTGCACCCTCTCTCTCCTCCAATCTATCAATCAAGTATTAGTAATTCCAAGAAAAATTGGGTTTCGGGGAATCTCTTGTTTCATAATTGATGAGTTTACTTCCATTTCGAGTGAAAGTGTTGCGTGAAGAGATTCGAAGGTCGGTTCAACCAGAAGACGACGGCG